TTCAGCAAACTGGCTTTAGGAAGCCACTAAGGCCCTTCCAGGAAGAGGAATTTGATTACATTCAATACGTTTTTTCCTTGAATCATTTTTCTGCTTGGGGGTGTCATTTTCTTCTCTCGCCAACAGATGGCAGCACCAATTTGGTCCAAGGATTTGTTATTACGGGCAGATGTCTAGTCTAGTGTTATAAGATTTAGACCTTTCTAGGCATCTTCAATAACTTTTTAGCAAAGAACAGCTACACTATTTTTTGTAGTCAATTCTGACTACTGTAATAAAGTGAAAGAACTAAAAACAATGGTTTTCTAGGTTTGGAAACATCTTTAAAATGTTTTTTCATATCCTAATACAGTTTTCTCATAATTGAGAAAACAAAAACAAAATTCAATTTACAAAGTCATGGGAGGAATGACATTATTTATATTGTCTGAGATTGTACACAATCTTGTCACTATTTCAACTATCCCAAGGTCTGATAAACAGAACTGATTACGTAATTGTTTCTAGTCCAAGGATTAATTTTCTGTGGAAAACATTTACAATTATTCTGTACTCAGTTAACATTGTAATACAGTAATGTTGTAGTTGATGATAATTGAAATATAGTAGTTTCTTGTTCATATAATGTGAATATTGGCATTATTTAGGATAGTGTGTAGTCAGGAGTTATATAAATGTTGAACAATTAATTATGTAATGGAATTATTTTTTGTACTGTTTTGTTACAATTAACTGTCCAGGCTTAAGACACTGATGTAAGGATTGTTTTTATAATTTTCCTCTTTCTTAAACATGAAGATACAGTAATGATGTTCACTACATCCAATGTGCTTGGATGTGATTTTGTATAATTGATTTTCTGGTCTTGTAACCTTTTATGGTACCAAACTTCTGTATTTAACCACCGCATTGTGCACCTGGTTTCGGTGAAAACTTCATAGTGCAATTGTTAAGGACATATTTTTGTTTTTTTTATCAATGTTCAGGTAAAGTTAGTGTCAAAATGTTTCCAAACTCAATAATTTTTATTTCAAAACACAAAGAGTGATGACAACGTTAAAAACATTAAAATATCGCCTAATTAAAAAAAAAAAGCACAACTCTCAAGAGTGCCTTAAAGTGCTCTTTGCATTTTATTGGTTAATGATTCCAGTTTTCGTTTGTTACACATTAATAACTGAATCTGTGAATCACGAGTAAATAGCACTAGTGCTGAATAAAGTCTGGGGGTTTGGAAGCTGCAATATAAATGCACTACAGGTATAGTGTTGCCTACTAATAATGCTCAAAGTTATAGTTAGAAAGTCCATGCACAGAAACCTACACTAATTAAGGATGCTGCTGTGTTACTACAGATTATTCTTATGAAAGTCATAGCACGTGATGTTTGTTTGCATAAATATTATCAGGTTTCGTAATCAATTAACCTAGTTACATTAATTCAAAGTTACAGTACATTGTAGAATTATGGGTAGTGTATATATTATTTTTTTATTTCATTTTAGAATGCTGTAACATATCATACATAGCCTGTTACGACAGTATTGCAAAAATGACTACAAGATAAACATTAAGGAAACCAACTACAATGAAGATATTTCACTGTGGACCTCCATCAGTGTTTTAGCAACTACATCAGAATGCTATAGCAGCTATTTCAGCACAGTTAGCAAGTACTACTACATGTGCACCTCATGGCAGATGAGAATATAAGACCGTCTGACTGCAGCATCCAGATCATTCTCAACACAGAGCAGTCAGCAGCAACAACACCTCTAAACAGACTCGGTCACTGTGTCTCACTGGACAGACTTGGCAACAGTCACCAGCCATGACCAGCCTCGGTCCTTGCTGACTCACTGGACAGACTTGGCTACAGTCACCAGCCATGACCAGCCTCGGTCCTTGCTGACTCACTGGACAGACTTGGCTACAGTCACCAGCCATGACCAGCCTCAGTACTTGCTGACTCAGTGGACAGACTTGGCAAGTCACCAGCCATGACCAGCCTCAGTCCTTGCTGACTCACTGGACAGACTTGGCTACAGTCACCAGCCAGGACCAGCCTCAGTCCTTGCTGACTCACTGGACAGACTTGGCTACAGTCACCAGCCATGACCAGCCTCAGTCCTTGCTGAATCACTGGACAGACTTTGCTACAGTCACCAGCCATGACCAGCCTCAGTCCTTACTGAATCACTGGACAGACTTGGCTAGTCACCAGCCAGGACCAGCCTCAGTCCTTGCTGACTCACTGGACAGACTTGGCAAGTCACCAGCCATGACCAGCCTCAGTCCTTGCTGACTCAGTGGACAGACTTGGCAAGTCACCAGCCATGACTGGACCTGCTGCCACTGGCACTCAACATCCTTGCCTCATGGCTCACAACACCATTGTACTGTGCAGTAACCCCCTCTGTAACCATGTAAACAAATATATATCTATTTACTTTCTTGTACACATACTGTTATATATGTCAGAGTACCAAAAAAAGTTCAGAAACTTTGGTCTGTGATACATTTTAAATTGTAAATTTAAGTAAGTTTATTTAGGTATAAATACACATAAAGGGATGAGGTAGCTCAAGCTATTCTCACCTTATTCAGTACAATGTGTTCACATATATACACATCACAAAAAAGCTGGGGACTGAGCACCCAGACCAAGGTACAGTAATTGTTTTCCATCGGGTGTGGTTGCTTTCCGAGAGTGAGCGTGTTTGCGTTTTTGTTCTTCTAGAACAAGCATCACTTGTGCAGATCAGTATTCTTGACAATTAAAATTCAATAACTTCTTCAATTCTTTTTTTCTTTATCAAGATTCAGAGCTACCTCATGTCTGATTTAATGTTCATCTGTTCAACAAATAACACAGGCTTCTTGATGTCTAGTTCGTGATTATATTTGGCTGGCAAGGGAATAGCATATTTTCATTAAAATTAATTTGTGATTGATAAAGTTTTCAGTCCTTGTGATATTTGGAGAATGCCTTTGTGCATTGACTTGAAACTTTTAATACTTTGGTGATGTAAGGTGATCCTCTCTGTCTATGGTTCATATATCCCTTAGGAGGGGCAGCGAGTGATTTCTCATACGTGAGAAAGTGTAACTACACCAAAATATCTACACACGCTCCCTGATATACTGTAGTTGAATACTCAGTGTCTTGTTGCCAACAATACCTTAAAAGGTTTTGCAATAAGATACAAAGTTTTGTCTGCATTGTATGGACAGTTTAAAAATACAATACATACTTTTAAACTGTCCATATGAAGTACAGTACATACTGTATAAAGCTTTCACGTTCCCGGCGCACACGCCCGAACCCACCCCCTAGGTGAGTTCGGCTTTGCCTTGCTTACCATGTCATTTTCATATTGTCTTTCTGCCCCTCTTCTCACCCTGACGTATTCATTCCTGGCACTCTGGTATCTTTCTCTGCTCACTAGTGTCCTATTATTTTTATAGTTTCTCCATGCTCTTGTAGTTAGTTGCTTCACTAGCTTACATCTCTGATTAAACCATGGGTTTCTCATTTGCATTTCATTTCTATCCTTTTGGACAGGGACGAACTTGTCTGCTTCTTCCTTACACTTCTGTTCTCTTCTTCTTCGCTACTCTCTTCTCTCTCTCCTATGTTTTACAGGCATACCACTAGGACCTGGTTGTGGGTCACTGCTTGTTTGTTTCACTATATACCTGTCTATTGATACTTGTTTTTTTACCTACATTTTAACACTTGTCTGTAGTGAGACATCACATTGTCATTAAAAAGGTTAATGCAACAGCCTGTTACAGCTTTATCTTGGCGACACTTTTTAGCAAAACTTTGTAGTTCTTCCCATACTGCACGCATTTTCTTAATTAACGAGGAAGAGGGACAGCAACCCGCATACCATTTTCATGTTTACGAATTATCTCTTGTATTTCCTCTATCGCCATCCTCACAACTATTTTCTTAGGTTGACTGACTTTACCACTGACTTTCTTGGGACCCATAGTATGATATATAATAACTTTTATGTTCAGAAACAAAAAAAAAGCACAAAAACAATGAAATTCTTTACAAAGAGTTCAAGCATGGTCGTCACTGGGTGGGTAAGCTGGATACACGGGTAAACAATCGCCGTACACCCCAGCACCACGTGCGCATTCGACCCAAACATGTATTGACAGATGTCGTATTCCAAGATAAACGTCGTACACCAATTCAAATTTGGCGATGAATTTGATGTTGTATACCAAGAAAATCATATTCTAGGGCAGTCATTCACGAAGGTATTAGAATGTTAATGTACAGTATTCTCTTAAAAGAAAAAAGAAAAAATGCATCTGATCGTCATTCGTACATATACTGTACAACCCACCTAATCTAGTGATACTGATAAAGGACACTGTATTTGGATGATGGTTTAACTTTGTCTAGTTGTACATATGCAATGAAAGTGCATAACCATCAAAATTGTGTGTAGTAACATGAGGACAGATCAAGGTGGGGAGTTTTGGTTCAATAGAATTATTGAATTACCAAATGTCAATACAGTACAGGGGTTATATATGGTACAGAGGAACCTCGGTTAACGAATTTAATCCGTTCCAACGGCGAGCTCGTCATGTGAAATGCTCGTCTTGCGAAACGAATTTCCCCATTTAAAATAATGGAAATAGAATTATTCCGTTCCACCCCCAAAAAACATCAATATGAAATTTTATAATGTAATTATAATATATGTAATTATTATAAATGTTTTGTTTTACTGTTTTCAATTGTATTTTACATTATGAAGAGTTGTGGCTGGCTTGAGGGAGACGATGGGGAGGTGCGGAGGAGGAGAGGTATTACGGTGTGGAAGGAGAATCCACCTCTGAGTCAGGCAGGCTCTCTTCTTGGGAATTTCACCCCACTGGGTCCGGGTTGTGGTTCACTATCACTTGCTCGTCTTTTCTTTACCTTTCCAAAGAACGTATCTATTGACACTTGCTTTTGTCTTTTGTTTTAGGATGCCCCTAAAACGTGACCGCAGATTGTCATTAAACAAGTTCACACACCGTGCAGTCACTGCTTTATCAGGGTGATGCTTTTCCAAGAATGCATTCATCTTTTCAAACATTCCCAACACTTCCCTGATCTCACTGGAAGAGGTGGCATACTCCCTTTTTGTTAGTCACAAAACCACAAAAACAGTAAAGCACAAATAAATGTAGAGGGATGCTTATCCTGTACGATTAAACAACAACACTGTCGTCGGAAGCGACCGAGAATTTGCGAGAACTAGCGGGAATGCTAGGAAGCACCACGTGGTTTTCTCTTTAACTGAGCGGAAGCTCGTCAGTCGAGACAAATTTTCTGCGAGTGGCTCACTTGTTACCTGAAATGCTCGTAGATGGGGCTGCTCTTCAACGAGGTTCCTCTGTATTGTATTTTATTAAAAGAAAAAGGCATTTTCTGCAAATTCAGGTTAGTTTAAAACTTTTTGTAACTGAAAGAAAATGTTTTGGATGTACAGTACTGTATACTTATTTGTAAAAAAAAATGTTTTTGTGAGTGCAGGCGTGATGAATTTATTTTTATACAATTCAGTTACTGTACTATAGTTAACATCCACATGATCCACATTACTCAGATCATTGCTTTTTCTCATCAGTTTTCCCTCTCATTTCAGGTGAATGATTTATGATCTGGCTGCTAGAGTCCTGCTCATGATTTAGTTCACCTATCTGAACACGGTTTATAGGTACCTAGTAGTAAGGGAACTGTCATTGGTGAAGGACAGGTAAAGCACTAACCTAATATTACAGTACTGTACATCGTTCATATACCTCCAAGTCTTTAGTTTTCCTCGTAACAACCCCCAAATCAAGTGTTTTTTTTTTTAGTGTACAAAATATATTACTATTTTGTTTCAGTAAAGTCCCAGTACACTTGACCTTCAAGCCAAATTTCTCGGGAATCTATCTACTGAGAACTTGGGGAATATTTTTATTATAATACAGAATGTCATAACATATCTTTACTGTACTGTACTTAGTAGTCTAAATATTACTCTGTACTTCTCTTCTCCTAATCCTAACTTTGGGAATTTTTCCCATAAAAGGTATGTTACGTGATTAAACTCCTGTGCTATTTTAATTCTGTATGATACATAATCGTCTACCATTACCACTGGAGCTTGTATTGGTCACCTGTAATTACCTAAGTGTAGTTACAGGATGAGAGCTACGCTCGTGGTGTCCCGTCTTCCCAGCACTCTTTCATATAGCGCTTTGAAACTACTGTGTAGGGGCTTATCAGTTTTTAAGCTGTTTTATCATAGCTACAGCACTTGACTTCATGAATATTCTGTGAAGGTCATAAAACGTGCATTGGTGACCGAGAGGAACCTCTGGAGAATGTATAAATCCACGATGAACATCGTCGATTATGAAATACCTGTATACAAAGCTTGGCCACCCAGAAAATCAGATCAGCCTAAAGAAACTATAAAGAAATTTTCCTCAAAACATAAGATCCAAAATCATTCTATGCCTATATAAAGAGGTAAAACCAAAACAAATGACGAGGTAGGACCCTTAATAGGAGAGACTAACCAAGTTATAATGGACGATAAAAAGGCAGCAAACACTCCAAATGAATATTTTATATGTGTTCACACTAGAAAGGTTGGATGACATCCCATCACCTACACAAATGTTTAACCCCTGGACCGTGCATGTTACCACAAATTTAGGGGGCATAATATTGAAAAATATTCAAATTATGTAAAAATAACTTAAAAATGTTAAACAAATCTCCAACTTATTGGCTTCAGTGTCGTGAAGCTTTCAGAAATTGATTTTAGACGAATTTTTGAAAAATAAGAATGTTTTATTGACAAGAAGAAGAGCTCCTAATAACTGTAACTGAAGGATTATGCAGCAATAAAGAAATGCAAGCACCTGTCCTATTCTCAGAAAAGAAGAATAGTAGTAGTAAGAAGTGTCCACAAAGTGGATATGCAGTTGGAGCCTTCATATTATTGCCGAGTAATACATAACACATAACATAATGAATAACTATGTTAATATGATTTATTTTGTTATATATCATATAAATGCATTGTCCATTGTTAATATATGTTACTTTCATCAATGTCCCAAAAATATATTTTTAGGGGAAATTTTTTTTAAGATTTCAGTTATTTTTTCTCCTTTTGTTTATTATCTGATTTTGTTTTAACCTTTACATCCTGGAGAATGCATAAGTTTTCATAACTATGTGAAGATAGAATGAAATTGGTCAACAAATAAGACAGTCACAACTAGCAAAACCTTTAATTTTGGGGGGTTAATTTTTCTCTGATTTCAAACTCTATTTTCTTTGTCTCGTTAGGTTGTTTTGATGCTTAGGGACCATATGAGGGGTTTCACTTATATAAAGGAAACCCTAAATATATTCCCTAAATCATTAGATTTATTATAATTATCCCTATATTTTGTGTTTTTGGGGGTTATTTTTTCTTGACTTCAACACATATTGGCCTACAATTTTCACATTCGAGTACGAATGCCAAACAATTTTTATTAAAACACAATTAAATTAACGAATTAAACCTACCTATTAGAATGTATTTTTCATAAACTTTATACATTTGGAGTTATAATTTTTTTGGTCTTAATTTGCCACATATTTCAAATGGCCTATTGACGATTTTTTTACATTAAACTATACTAAAAACCTATATTTTAATTTAATGAAAATGAAGATCATATGCTATTTTGAGAGGATAATAACATTAAATGAAAAATTAATGATAGTTGATATTTTTTATTCTAAGCTGAAAATCTGAAGTTTTCAATATTCAATTTTAAAATTAATTTTGATACTCTGGTTTTTCAAGTTACGCTGTGATCATTTAGACAAAGTTGGAGCATTTGCCTAGTTGATTATGCCAAAAAAATTGGAATGTGTTTGTGCAAGTTTTAAAAACTTATATGATTTGACAAAAAATAATTTAAGATGTGGGTATTGCGCAGTCTAAGGGTTAAAGGAGGGGAGGTGAATGAATTTAGGGATATATACCCATAACATGCTAAGTAATCAGGAAAAACTTTGACAAACTAAAAGACTCAAAAGCCCCAGGTGTGGATGGAATCCAATCCAAAGTCTTAAAGGAACTGGCAGAAGAACTATGCCTGACATTGGAACTACTTTTCACAAAATCTCCGGACCAAGGGGTAGCCCTCCCCCCTAGATTGGAAATATGCAAATGTTACCTCTATTTTAAAAAAAAGGCAGAAAGAGCTTGGCAGAAAACTACCATTCGATCAGCTTGATTATCACACATTTGCAAGCTCATGGAGAGAATCCTCAGGGAGGGCATCATTCACCATCTTTCAGTGAACAATCTTGTACAATCGACACAACATAGGTTTGTTAAAAAAAAAAAAAAAAGATCGTGCCTTACAAACTTTGCTCACACTGTAGCCAGCAACTCGAAGGCTTTCTGGCCTCCGAGTTGTTTTTGCATGAATTGATTATACTTTATAAATTATGCTTTGCCGTGCTTTTGCTAGCCAGGTCTAAATCTTGCTTGCTGCTTAATGTATGATTGTGCACTTATTTTCTCTGCTTGGTTAGAAAAAATATGTGGGTCTCTTGCATGTCCTGGCCCCTCTTTGCATCACATCTCTTGTATGCATGATTGCTTTCCTTGATTGCAGTGCCTTGGTGCCGAGGTGGCATTGCCCTCGGTTGTAAATGCGTGTCATGTACCCCATCCCTCAGAATGCCTCTCCTGTGCAATGGATCTTGGCCCAGGTAAGGCTTCTGGTAGACAATTCTCTGGTGAGGTCTGGTTATAAATTATTGTATTGCACTTACAGTATTTTATTTTCCTTGTTATAATCATTAACCTCTTATTTGTTTTTCGTAACATTAATTTTTGTGCATGAGCAATTTATTTTAAATCTTATTACAACACAATAGAGTATGGCAGTCACTACAGATACAATATTTTATTTACTTTCTACAATGACAGGGATTTTGTGTGTCAGGCAGTATTTATTTACAATATAGGCCTGCATTAAATGCCTAGGTCACACTGGCAAACAACAAATTCTGTGAATATTGAGGTAATCAGTTGTCTTAACATTATGTGCATTAGTAGAGTTAAAGATTGGAACCAAGTATCTTGCCTCACAACCTCCCCCTTCCATGGCCTGGCAGCAAGTCAAGTCTTTGGTATTCAGTAATCTGGATACCTTTATATTACAGTATATTTTTATGAAGATAATAAATAAAACACAATGATATGACGGAAAATTTTGAAAAGCAAAAGAGGGGGAAAAGGTGAAAGTCACAAAGAGATAGGAGCAGAAGAGAAAAGAGAGGAGCACAGAGTCATTGCCATTTTACTTTTCATACTTTAGAATACCTGGCAGTGCCCAGATCAACCTGATGTCTAGGTCACCCCCCCCCCCCCCCCCACACACACACACTTCCCATCTTGTCCCATTGCTGTAACTACTGGATCTTCAATATACAGTCTTCATACCTCTCATCCCCACACCCTCTCCCCCCCTCACTCCCCCTCATTCACTGTCACTTTGCCGTCACATCTCTCCCAGCACAAAACCTTCCCCTCTTCCCCTCACAAACCTTCCCTACTAGGTGTAGAATAGTAAATAATGTAAAAAAAAATAACCATATACCACAGAACTATAAATATATACACTGTGCTAAATTTATAAACACCACAATACAGAACTAGTCGTAGAATAGTAAATAATTAAACAGCAGTACCGTTCATGTATAGTAATAACTGTAAGCTGGTAAATAATGTAAACCTAGCAGTGGTAGCTGTAGAATAGTAAATAGTGTAAAAATAGCAGGACAGTACTACCTGTAGAATAATATTGTAAACATGGCAGTACAGTACAGATACTAGCTATAGGATGGTAAATAATGTAAACTTAGCTGTACAGTACTACCTGTAGAATAACATTGTAAACACGGCAGTACTGTACTAGCTGTAGGATAGTAAATAATTTAAACTTAGCAGTACAGTACTACCTGTAGAATAACATTGTAAACAAGGCAGTACTGCACTAGCTGTAGGATAGTAAATAATGTAAACACAGCCGTACAGTACCTGTACTAGCTGTAGAATAGTAAATAATGTAAACACAGCAGTACAATACCTGTACTAGCTGTAGGATAGTAAATAATGTAAACACAGCAGTACAGTACCTGTACTAGATGTAGGATAGTAAATAATGTAAACACAGCAGTACAGTACCTGTACTAGATGTAGGATAGTAAATAATGTAAACACAGCAGTACAGTACCTGTACTAGCTGTAGAATAAATAGTAAATAATGTAAACACAGCAGTACAGTACCTGTACTAGCTGTAGGATAGTAAATAATGTAAACACAGCAGTACAGTACCTGTACTAGCTGTAGGATAGTAAATAATGTAAACAGCAGTACAGTACCTGTACTAGATGTAGGATAGTAAATAATGTAAACACAGCAGTACAGTACCTGTACTATCTGTAGAATAAATAGTAAATAATGTAAACACAGCAGTACAGTACCTGTACTAGCTGTAGGATAGTAAATAATGTAAACACAGCAGTACAGTACCTGTACTAGCTGTAGGATAGTAAATAATGTAAACAGCAGTACAGTACCTGTACTAGCTGTAGAATAAATAGTAAATAATGTAAACATTGCAGTATAGTATTAGCTGTAGGATAGTAAATAATATAAACATAGCAGTACAGTACTAGCTAGTAAATAATATAAACAGCAGTATAGTATTAGCTGTAGGATAGTAAATAATATAAACATAGCAGTACAGTACTAGCTAGTAAATAATATAAACAGCAGTATAGTATTAGCTGTAGGATAGTAAATAATGCATACCTAGCAATACAGTACCAGCTGTAGAAAAATTATGTGAAAAAAGAACCACAACTTGCACAAATGGCTTAAAATTCAAACCTACAAACAAAATTAGGGCTTTATTGTATCCAAAACATTGCAAATCTGAATTCAGGTGAATATATATTATTTATTCACAATCATTTCACCAATATATTACTATGGCAATTCAAATTTCAATTAGTCTCATCAAATTGTTAAATAATTATTGTAACATAAAGTACTGCACTCCTGTCAGCAATGTGACCAGATTTTCTTTAAATTGAAATAACTGCTACAATATAAAGAGAAATCAGACATAGATCAAATTAATTGGGTAAAAAAAAATCAACTATGGTCAAAATTCTTTTGAATTTAATATAACAATTCAAATCAGTCGTCTAATTTAGATGCACAAAGTTGGTAGAAAAACAAAGGTAATAATAATTTATGGTATATGTTTTACATTGGATTTGCTACACCACTGGTATATTATGCATTACTGTTGTTCTTATTTGAAAAACCTCATCACCATGATCTGTGTTTGAATTAAGTTTTGAAAAGAAACTCAAGTTTTGCTGCTTTCTCTGTTCCGAGGGGATTCCTTAGCTTTGTATCAACTAAAGGTTCACACGGTTAAGGGTTAACAAGGGTTAAGGTGTGAACTATGTGAGGAGGGTTTCCTCCTCCATAGGAGGGAGTGGGTTTCAGAGGAAGCTACTGCTGCTTTAAAAAAAGAAAAGAAAATTGTTACTGACTGTTGTGAAGTGAGCCTGTGTTGCCTGGGCTAGACCTGGGACGGGAGTCACAGTAAAAATATTTTTACGTATTTATTCCAATGTTTGAGTTTTTTTATTTATTTATTTATTTATTTATTTTTTATTCAGTATTATTATTCAATAGTGTGTTAGAAGCTTGTTTAATAAAATGTATGGAACATTAGAATGCTTAAATACATTTGTGTTACTGTACTAATATTTGCACCATATTACGTTCTTAGGACAATAAAACATACTGTTTTCTATGTTCTATACTCTAGAGACACTTTATATAACTATCTACATTTTCATGCTAATTGGTATATTCTTACAATAAAAATCTTTTGACTCATGGGCTGAAATCCTTAATACTGTACTGTACCTGTAAAAATATTTTAATTCTCCTAAAATTGTTTGAATATTCAGGAAATATTATATTAAATGTTAAGTGTTCAAGGATGCAATAATTCAGATTTATTATATATATAAAAAAAAAACTGAAAAATTACAGACATAAATTGTCAACACTGGTTGGTTTGGATCTTGTACAAAACGTGGTTCATACAAAACTAAAAGTTTGCATTCCACTGTCCGCACTATTTCATTGTGATGCAGGGACAAGTACAACTTTGTATATACTGTATAATATAATTATTATTTAGTATATCATGTATAAAAGGTAGGAAATAGGACAGCTCATTTGGCAAAACTATCACTTTTGTTTTGTCATTAACCATTAACCATACGTAGTTAGACAGTGAAATGTAGTATTTGTGGCACTGTCAATGTACTGTATCATGTATGTACTGCTCTGGTACATCATTTAGACAGGACAGAAGCACTTGTACTGTATAAAGTATAATACTGTACAGGTATAAGAATGATCTATTTTAGAATTCTAACACTACTGGTACAACATTACTGTAATAAATTGTACTGCATTAAAAAATGCTACAGTACAGTATATTGTAATGCTATTGATGTATACAGATTCACTTTAAACAAAACTGGTAGTACTGTACTCAATTTAATGAAAATAAAGTAAAATATTATTTAACAAGTAACAAACTAAAAACTTGAATTATTTTATGATAAATCTTGTATGCAAAAAAGTTCATTAGGAAAAATCAAATTTAAATAAAAAAAAACTTTTTTTATTTAAAAATCTACAACCCTTTGTAACATTGCCTTTGTTACACAGAGAAATCACATTAACGTGATATGTCAAAGAACAAATCCACAGGATCCTTGATGAGGGTTCGAACCTACGCGCTGAGTGTTCCCAGTTGCGCTCTAGTCAACTCGTGTAAATAAAGGCAAATAAATGGCTTTATTACTAATTTTTCTGCGTTGAAGTTTCATTTTTCTATGGAACTAGCTTATCTTTTCCAAGTGCTTAGCAGCCAAGAATTGTACATTGGTTTCTATCAATACTTAATACTACTAGTGAGGAAATAATTTTATCCTTTTGTTCAGGCTTTAGTAGGAGCATATTAATTTTTTTTTCATTGAATGATGTATTGCAGCAAACTTTCCAAGACGTTGTGACTTTCTCTGCACTGGATGCGATATATTAAACATGCAATTGCTATGAAGTATTCTTTCCTGGCAGCAGAGGGAATCAATTCACTGTGGCTAGCTATTGAGTACTGTACTATAGATGTTCCCCTTCCTTATTCGTTATTACATTCTTGTTTGAGTATTTACACTGCTCATTATTACTGGGTGACTGGGTTTCCTTTGGGGACAGGGGAGAGAGGTATTGGCCTGTCACTCCATTAGAATGTCATGTTGGGTAGCTGGGTGTGGGTCATGGTGTGTTACTGGGTGGGGAGTGTTACTAGCGGGGTCATGTTAGGCAGTTCTTTTGGTCGTGCCAATATCTTGGGATTACTATTTCTTGTGTTTTCATCTTGGTATCTTTTATTTTCCTCTTTGTTATCTTTCACCTAGTCTGATACTTTCCTATCCTTTGTCAATCTCTGGATTTGCTAGTCTGATTTTATTTGTAGGATATGCAGTACTGCGTAGTCCAGATTCTCGTCTGCTATTGTACCGTGCTACATACTGGTACCATGTTTACGAGGAAATCTGGCGTCTAAATAATAAACAATTGTAGCTTGTGTATAAATTTTCATTATATAGCATTGCAAAGTTTTTGTCTGTGTAGCCTCTTAATATGTCTGTACTTATAACTTTCCCTACCTATGGACCTTTCACTAATTTGTTGTCCTCTTATCTCGTTATTTTCTTTGAATGTGATGGTTGCCTCTTTTTCTATCTTGTATAAACTAAAGGCAGTATAAAAATATAAACTAAATGATGTACTGTAGTAAGTTGAGGATAAGAAATGTTTTTTCATTTCATAATTTTTGTTATGTCATGTTAAGTACTGGGATGAATTGTAATGTATAATACAATATACAGTATAATTATTATTTTCCAGGTGGCAGCCAAGTGTGGTGTCTCCAACCAACGGCAGCTCACCGACAATCTCTTACATCTCATTACCCTAGACTCTAACCAATCAAGCACCCTTTCTGCTCCTTCCAACCCGACCTTCTCTCCAGTATCTCAAGGTATCCCAATTCCGTTTCAAATTAACTTGCAAGGAGGACATTCAAGTGGAACCCCTATTACTGGACTTGTCTCCTTGCTAAACCAAAGCAACAATTTTAGTACAAATAATAGTCAACTGTATACAATCAGTGCAAATAGAGTTATTAGTAGTGAGTGTTGCGGGAAGTGTGGTGTAAGTGGTGTTGGTGGTGCTAGCGTTGTTGGAATTGTGTCAGATAGCAAGCAGAGTGATTGTCAATCCCAGGGACTTCTGGCACCACAGCTCTCTAACTTGGAAACATCAGTGGAAAAAGTTTTGTGTCTGGTGCCTAACTCAAAGGAGACCGGTCAAAGCGAAGCTTGTCTCTTTGGTGAGGCCCAAGTCAGAATGGTTTTACCTGCTCTCAGTCAAGAAACTGTGAAGAATACTCAAGAACCCAAGAATACCAGCAGCAGCATCAATAGTAACAATAACAATACCTCCATCAAAAACCGGAATAACAAAAATAATAACAGTAAAAACAAAGAACTTTCTGCCAAGAGTATTGAGCCTGTAGACCAGGAAGAGCATTGCTTTAATTACAGTGTCATTGAATGCTGTAACCCATCAGACAAAAAGAAAGAGAAGAGTGAGGATGGCCAGTTGCCTTTGTCTCGGATACCTGCATCAAGCGAACCTTTTGATCCACAAGAGGTGCAGAAGCTGCTACAGGATGTTCTCTGGAAGAACGAAAATAAAAGGTAAGCAAAACAGGTTTTTGTTGGAAATGCAGTATATTGATAGTACAATATTTTTTTTTCCAAGTGGTGTTATGCATGCTTTGAATAGTAATTGACATCATTACAGGTTTAGCACTTAATCACAACATAATGCCCCTTCACATTTCACTTTAACTCACATCTATGGCTAACTTCATCTTTATTTGTTCTGCTGTAGCTTTTATGTGGGAGGTTCCTACCATGTTCAGCTTTTTAAATAAAATTCAGTGCATAATATGAACTATGAAACTACAGTACAGTACAGGTACAGTGGTACCTCGGGTTACGAACGTCCCTGTTTACGAACTTTCGGGTTACGAACATCCCTGTTTACGAACTTTCGGGTTACGAACATCCCTGTTTACGAACTTTCGGGTTACGAACGTCCCTGTTTACGAACTTTTCGGGATACGAGCCTGATGTGTTCGGAAAATTTGAATCGGGATACGAACTTTGCATCGGGATACAAACTTTGCATCGGGATATGAGTTTGTTGATATGCGTACGGCCAACCTAGTGCGCGGTGGCACGGCGATCGCGCCTCAGTTTACCAGTGCCTCGCGCCCAGTGACTATCCTGCCTTAATTTTTCACAAGAATTTACAGTTTTTTGTCGGATTTTTGGCCATTTGAGCATAAAAGTTATTATATATATCACCATGGGTCCCAAGAAAGCCAGTGAGGTTCAAGGGAAGAAATCACATGAAGAATGACCATAGAGGAAAAAAAGAGATCATTCATAAGCATGAAAATGGTACTCTTGTTGTTGAACTAGCTAGGCAGTACAACAAATCTTCAGGGGAGGAAGAGGAGGCAGTAGAGCATGTCCCTTCCTCATTAATTAAGAAAATGTGTGCAGTACGGGAAGGACTGCAAAGTTTTGCTGAAAAGAATCGCTCAGATAAAGCTGTAGTAGGCCATTGCATTGATCTTTTTAATGACAATGTGATGCCTCACTACAGAAAAGTGTTGCAAAGAAGGAAAAAACAATCTTTAATGGAACGTTTCCTTGTGAGAAAAGTGAGAAAATCAAGCAGTGAGCCACAACCAGGACCTAGGGGTATGCAGGCAAAATGTGCCAGAGAGTGCACTCCAGAGAAATCTTCACTGCCTAATGTTATAATGGAAAGGGACTCCCTTTCCAAACAGTACCACCTCTCCTCCTTCCCCCTCCTCACCATCTTCCATATGCCAACAGGAGTCATCAGCAAGGGTAAGTAATAACTTAATGTACTTTTGTAGTTAAGATTTGGGTGAATTAGGTATAAAATTTACTTTGAAGTGAAGTTTTTGGGGAGTCAGGAACGAATTAATTCATTTTCCATTATTTCTTATGGGGAAATTCGCTTCGGTTTACGAATTTTCGGGTTGCGAACCGTCTCCAGGAACGGATTAAATTCTTAAACCGAGGTATCCCTGTATGTAGAAAATTATGGCTAGTTCAGGAAAAGTGGCCATTCATGCACTGGTATTCCACTGTCTAGTCCTACACAGGTCTACTGGGCCCAGTTTGACTTTCGGACAAATGTTGGCATTCCCCTTGGATACAGTTCAGTATTGGCTACATATGCATAATTAGTGCCTCATGTTTGCTGTGGTTGCATGGGACCAAGGCTCTCTTCTTTGGTTATTGTTGGTGTTGTCTGTGCCTTTCACCAGGGTTATCTTCTTGGGGGTGACTCCTCCTCGAGGGGCCTTGCCTCATGTAGTACGTGGACAGTTGCTCCTCTGTGAGGCTCAGTGGTAAGGGGTTGGCTGTGCTCTGACTGCAGTCTCACAGAGCCTTCTTGTTGGAAAATGCAGTGTTGTGTAGTGATGAATGTGTATGGTGTTTTTGTCTGTGGGGGGGTGTACTTTTCCTTCACTGCATGCTCCCAAATTGATAGGGTGTGTTTGTAGGACTCTCCCAGCACTCTGGTCTGCAACTGGTAGATACCAGAGTTTGCCCCTGTAAATCCATAGTTGTAGGAGAGAGTATGTTGCATTCTCTTCTGGTCTTGCTGTCGTGGTGCTCTTTTCATTGCCTGTTGCCCTTTATGTAAAAAAATAAATAAATTATATATGTTAAATAAACCATAACTAATCATGTGTGTTATGGGGAGGTCAATTACTGAATTTTTCTGCCATGCTGGTTTTTCTCTTGTGGGCCTTATTGCTTACATGCAACCACAATATTTTGGGTGCTCTTTGTTCATGATAGTCCTCAATGGGTACTCTTCCTGTCACTGACATAATTACTCTTTCCCTGCAAATATTGCAACAAACAAAAACTTTCAACTACAACTACAGACATCCCTAACCACCAACAATCATAATCATAGCCATTATTAGAGTTACAACCACCTTAGTCACATCTACAACTATAACCACAACTTTGTATACAAAAATATTATACTACCCTGTACTAGTATATTTATTACATTTCCTAAACTCATTATATCCACTGTACTCATTGTAGCATTAGGTAATCATTGCACCTTGTAATCTTGACTCTGCTCTCTTTGAATCCAGAAATATACCCATCTGGGGATGCTTTTCTTGGTTGCCTTTGTGTGATAAAAATGTATAGTATCTAGTTACTGGAAGTGTTGCCATAGTATAGTACGAATTCCCCACAAGATAGAAAATGGAATGAATTATACTTAGCGCTTTGAATATTACCTCATTGGTCAAAAGATTGACGATCGTTTAGTTGATCTGAATATTATTTGTGGCAATTAATGCTGTGGACAACATTACAGCGAGGGTGGAGTTGAGTCGACTGGTAGTGGAGGCTGCGACACGGGTTACTCTTCTCGCTGCTCCACCCCACCTGGGCCCTCCAGTCTCTCTGATGCTATTGACCCAAAACACGGCACCAAGTGAGTACAAATATTTGATGGAGAGCATTCAGAATATTTATTGCTAAAACATAGGGCAGCGAGTGGATACTTTCCACTATCCAAAGTGGATACTTTGGTAGTGGAAAGGTATGTGGTTGAAGCAAAATACTTATACAGGATGCGATATTAGAATTAGGAATGGGAAAAAATAGCTTAATGTCTATTACCGTGTGTTGTTCAGTTTATTTCCTTACATAAAGATTTAGGACAAATGTACTCATGTTATGTAAAAGAAATATTTAGAGAGTGCATCATTTAAATAATGATTTATAAAGATTTGAATGTTGAGTGGATTATTCAAAATGGAATAATTGACTTGGGGATTAAGAAATATTTGATGTTCAGAGGAAGTTTTGAGATGTATGAGGTGGATGATGAAAGTAGCTAACACACAGCTACTACGGCCACTTTGTCCTCTCACAGGACCAAGTTCTGGACTGCCCAATGTGAATTGCCCTCCTCAGCACAATCGCTTCCTCATGTCACTTCTGTGAACATAAAACATCATTAGCTAGACAGACAGTATACTCGGTGGCCTTAGGATAACACCCTTCCACCGGGAAGTTGAAATTATAATTGCTTGCACAACCTAGATGGTGTTGATATCGTTACCCCCCCCCCTCGCCAGAGGTCAAGATCGACCTCACCTTCTAACTGAGTTATGAAACAGGAGCCTTTCACCAATGTCTCATCTAATACCTGGGAGGTGGAGTGCAGGTCCATAGATGGCACCGAAATCGTCACTCCACACTCCAGTATCTTATGCAGACTCACGTGCAGATAGTTTGCAGGACACATTAGGTGTAAGAAGGCAGGGCAGGTAGTAATGTCACATGGTATGGTGAGTGATAGTGGGCGGTGACGGGTGCTATGTGCACGTGGGAAATTTGAGTGGCAAAATCTCAAATCATAAATCTTAGCCGCTGCCGTCACTCGGTGACGACGGCGGCTAAGTTATATTTTCTCACGGGTGTCTGAGGTAAAGTCATCTAGTTCACTGTAAGTTAGTCACTCGCAGGCACTTCTGCTTACAGATGACCTTGATCTTACTTTGTCTCCAAAGGTTTACTGATACCAGTCTGTTTCATTCTGGTGAATCTAAAGATCTTTGTCTCACACTCGTACATTTCAAATACAATACTGTACATTTGCTGCCTCTTGATTCCGGGCAAATGCTGGTACAGTATGTTGAATAAGATGTAGAGAGTGACTTGACAGTGAGAAATTTAATGGTGTATTCTTGTATATTGGCTAATACATGGAATGACACATGTCAGCCGGGTATGTGTCTATAATGAGAATGCTGGTCCTGGGCCCCTGGAGGAACTTGCTAGGGTCTCATTGGGGCACAACTGTCAGGTCTATGAACTCTCAGCACAGGTACTGGATCCAACCATATATCCCTGTACAGGATGGTTAGGAAAGCAACGTCACAACTTGGTTATGGCTTCCCCTTTGCAACGGTTAAGGCTGATCCCAAAGGTCACTGCTTATCTCTTGCCACCTGGCTGGTGTCCCATCTGCAACAAACTGCACCTTAAAATCAGTGGGGCTCCCTGACTCTCATTGCAATCCTGAGATAGCATAACTGCTTAATTTGACCTATCTAATTTCTCATTGGACACTGGGCTCCATATGATCACTGTTCCTATCCATGTGAGCATTACAGAGATGAGAAACCAATTACCCAACATGCCAGAATTCCATGCCAGTGGGGGCCATGACAGCTGAATGGACAGTGCTTCGGATTCGTAGTCCTGAGGTCTCAATACAGTATTGTTATTGTTATTTATGTGTTTATTGTTCGATGCCCGGTGGAGGTGAAAATAAATGGGCAGAGTTTCTTTCACTCTAATGTCCCTGTCACCTAGCAGTAACTAGGTACCTGGGAGTTAGACAGTTGCTATGGGCTGCTTCCTGCGGGTGTGTAACAAAGAGGAGGCCTGGTCAAGGACTGGGCCACGGGGAAGCTAAGCCCTGAAATCATCTCACGATAACCTCCATCCAGTGATTAGGAATATAGGCCATGTGCATTGCTTGGTGCATGCTTGATGCACTCTGCACTGTAAAATGTCACTCTAGTTAATTGTGCAAAAATCCTGGGAGACTATACTCTCGCATCAAATGTCACTTGATTTACTGTTTCACCCCATTATCTTGAGGTTATCTTGAGATGATTTCGGGGCTTCTTAGTGTCCCCGTGGCCCGGTCCTCGACCAGGCCTCCACCACCAGGAAGCAGCCCGTGACAGCTGACTAACACCCAGGTACCTATTTTACTGCTAGGTAACAGGGGTATAGGGTGAAAGAAACTATGCCCATTGTTTCTCGCCGGCGCCTGGGATCGAACCCAGGACCACAGGATCACAAGTCCAGCGTGCTGTCTGCTCGGCTGACCGGCTCCCCTCCCCATTGGCAATTTCATTTTGAATTTTTTTAACATTCATTCCTACCATACCTTTCCATCCCTCCATTCTTCCAGTTGAATGCTCCTTCACTCCAGGAAGTGTAAATGGAAGTAATATTAGTGAAGATATTAATATGTTCTGCACTTGAGTTTCAGGTTGAAATGAATTTAAGACATTCAGCTCAGTTTATTTTGCTGTATAGAGGCTTGAAGCATGTTGGACACTGGTACAGAACTTTTCATTATTATGTGTTACTGTTTTATTAGGTATTCACTAACATCAGTCCTCTTTAACCTTGTAACTTTCGTCAAGCAGTTGGATGTTGAAATGCTTAACCTCTTAGGAAAGTTTTATAAATCACTTCCTGTTGTAAAAATGTTAGGAATTAAATTTTTAAGTTCAGTCTTTAATTTCTTTTAAAGAAATTAACATTTCTTAAAAATATAGGCCTTGACTGTTTAACCAGTGAGAAAAGTATTTGTTTCTATAATAGGTTTTTTTGCTTTGCTGTTTGTTGATGCCCATTATTACCAGGTATTCTGATTTATGAGGTTGGTTGAACTAGCTGAGAAGCACATTACTATTAAGTACTTGCCAAGCTTGACTAGTTTAGTAGTGTCTTTTGGCAGCATGTTCTAACTATAGGGCCCTAACTATACCTCCCAACATTCTACTACTGTGACTTAATGCTTTTGAAGCTGTAGGGCTGGTCATGCTCTCATATCACAGCCATGGGCAAAGCACTCATTTGCTAGCATACTGTACTGTATTGGAAAATTCTTTTGACACTAATCATTTTGATGATCTTTCAGACGTCACTTAGATGTACCGGGCAAGAGAAGCACCAACAACAGCAATCGAGAGTCCCGAAGTGGATCTCCTAGTGCCTGCAGCGTCAGCTCTCAGGGATCCTACCGCAACCCACGACAGAAACGGAGATACAATAATAATTCCGACGGACACAATATTCATTATAATAACAATCAATCTTACTCTCACCATCAGCCCCACCATCAACAACCCCATCAGCCACATCAACCACATCAGCCCCATCAACCACATCAGCCCCAGCAACATCAGCCTCATCATCCACAGCAACATCAAGCACATCTCCCACCCCCACAACCACAGCAACATCAACCACATCAGCCACATCATCAGTCCAGCCAACAGCCCCACCACCAACCACATCACCATCCCAATCACATAAATTACCACCACCATAACCAGCAACTTCATAATCATCCTAACCAACAAGGGGGCTATGTAGGCAATAATGGAGGTATGGGAAGGGGAAACAACCAGTACTACAGCCACCACTGCCCGGATTTGGCACATAGGAACTGCAACTTTCAAGGCCGAAGATACGAGAAGGGGTACAATAACTACGGCTTCTTTGGGCACATTGAGCACCGTTGGAGAGACTTTAACCAACATGGCGATGAACGTTTTGGGCGATATAATCAGGGGAGGGCATACAATAAATATAATACAAACCATTATAATAACCACTGCTTGCCGTACAACAATGATGGCATTCGGGACCAAAGTAAACGTCTAAGTGGCCCTGCAGGAACATTCAGTGAAGAGAGAGTGAATGTGAATACTAAGTGGAAATGTGAAGTTGTTGAAACCCCAAGTGAACTGGAGACAGGAACAGAGTGGGATGGTCTGTCAAAGCAAGTTTGGGATACTTTCTGTAAACATCAGCAAACAAATGAAACATTTTTCAAGAAGCTCAAACTGCGGGAGAAGATTTTCAAGGTCATTAGGGTAAGTTAATTTAATTGTATTATAATAGTATGCAAACATTTATGATACCATTAAGTATAAAATCAGCACTATAAACAAAGCTTGAATTTTATGCAAGTACCTTTACCAGCTTAATTGACCTAATTATTAAGTATCCCTTATTGGGATACATTTTTTTTTTTTCCAAGTTCTTCAGTACTGTATCTAGACAAGTGTAAAGTACAGCTATGGAAATACTGTACTGTATATGCATCGTCTGCCCAGACGAAAACAATTTAAAAAAAGTATAGTAAATATGTATTTACTATTTTATTAACTGTAGAAAGTTGGCAAATGGCGTGCCATGCCAGATCTGTCAATAAAAGACCTTGTGCCTTGCTGACAGTGGTATGTGGCAGAGGATTCAAGTGTTTGACCTTGGATGTTTACAATAATTATTTTACTTTTTAGTTCATTTGCCATGCCTTTTATTTTGGTCACCATGTATGTGTTAAATATCTAGATTTTATGTACAGTACATGTAATTTACAAAAACATGGATCAAGTACTGTATATATATATTACTAACTGTAAGGATAAAGGATGAAGGTTTGATCCAAAAATTTGGTTTAATATTTCACTTACACATATATTGGATGTGTGATAACCACACATTAAGGGCTAATTTGACTTGGAACTTTAAATACTTCTATCTGGTTTAAAGAATATATCTGCTCATGATGTCTGAAGTGATATAGCAGCTTTTGTTTCATTTGTTTTGAAGTACATTTTTTTGTTTTCCGTGCAGCTTTTTGTGAAGTCGTCATTGCATTTACTTGAAGCCATACAGCATTTATAGTATCATAATACTGAGCTCCATTTCTTTGGCAGTGTACCCTAGTAATGGCCAATATTTTGTGTATTTGAATATATGACGAGTGCCTCATTCCATTGAGTTTAACCAAAAACACCTGAGCGTGATCAGAAAACTGAGTATCTACATTATTGGGCAGTGAAGCCCAATGGCAACAATTGTATGTATAAACATTTTAAGAATAAAATGCCACCTACCTAACAACCTCTTTGTCCCTCCAAGAAATCCCTCCCTTCACATCCTCAAAAATTACCTACCTTGACCATTGAATGTACAAAACAGTACCATTCAATCCCTAGCCACCATTAGTCATTTCCTGTCTACACCTACTCATATACTGTACCTACACCACTTACCAAATGTCAACGTTATCCACATGAACACTATAATGTCCTAAAATATTCAGCTCCAGGCCAGAAGAATTAAAATTTCTAAAAGTATGTCCTGAGACAATTATCAGGGATGAGAGATGTGCTGTGAGAACAGTTTAAAAGAATTAAATAATTCTTTTTGACTGCCCCACCTTTACCCATGCCATCTATAAGAATTTGAATTTATAAACTTGAAAAGTATTTTCTCTTTGATTTTAATATATATTTTTTTGTGCACAGCCCACACAAAATTTGACTAAAAATAAAATTAATATTTTCAGAACGTGCTGCCAAGTTGTCGGTTATATGTAGTTGGATCTTCTCTAAGTGGATTTGGAGCAGACTGCAGTGATGTTGACATGTGTCTCATGGTTACTCCAGGTGACCTTGATCAGCGGACTGAGGCAACTGCTGTCTTACGTCTTCTCCAAAGAGAACTCAACAACTGTGGTGAGAAAATACAGAATTTTGCTTAAATAAATAGCTTTTTCTTTTCTCCATATATATGTCTGTCCTTAACCCTTATCAAGTTGTTACACTGAAGAATGGGCATGTCTGTTTATATATGGGAAGAGGGGAAATTGAGAAGAAAGATGATGAAGGGCAAGGTGAGATGTGAAGCATGAAAGCCAAGGTAATATAGAGCTGTAGAAAGGTAGGATACCTAATTTACCTATAATTGCATCAAGTACTCGATAGCTTAAAGGTATGGATATTAAGAAAAAAAAAGTAGGCTATCGAGTGAAATAAAAAGTTTCTTTCTGGGCATGTTTTTCAATTGTTACATGAACCAGATACTAAATGATCCACCCAAGACTGGTCTTGCTTGCCAGGCTAGCTGGCTTCAGTTGTCTTGTCTCTACAGTGTGACCAGAAACTTTTCATATGGTCTTGTTTCATCCATTGGGGACAGGATTACAGTAGAGGGTCTACTTTAATCCTTCATTAAATACCTGCTCACTATCATATTAAAGTCACACTTTGATTTCATTAAAGAACACCACCGTATCTTTCAAAATTCTAAATCTCGTAAGGAAGTCGTGCTTGTAAATCCTTGATAGTCAATACAGTGTACTGCAAGTATTTGTATAGAGATGGCTTAACCAAGCCACAGTGCCAAAATGCTTATTGGTTCATTATTGGTGCAAAAATTATATTATTTTATTTATTTATACAAGAGTTCTTACATTTTGTAAAGCTACTAGCATGCAGAGTGTTTTGGGCAGGTCCTTAACCCTAAAAGGGTGCAAATTGTATATATATACAATTTGAGTAAATGATGCTGAATGGATGCTGATGCATTGTATATGTACAATTGAGGGTGCGGGGCACAACGTAAATGTCCCGCAGCTACACGAGGTTTACATAAGCTTGCTCAGGGCTCTAGTAAACTGACGCCATTAAAAAAAATCGTAGGCAACATTCCCAGGTGTGAGAGCTGGGAATGCTTACGAGTGAGCATCCAAGGCTGACCAAATATAAACTATCACCAATTATTCATTTGGTGTTATTATTCTCTCTTCATTTTCATCAAATTAGAATATAGATTTTCAGTATAGTTTACTGTAAAAAAAAATTTGTCAATATGGCATTTGAAATATGTGGCAAATTTAGACCAAACAAATTATAACTATAACTGTATAGGGTTTATGAAAAATACATTCTGAAGGGATTGTAGAACAGACAGCTGAGCACACAATATGTCAAAATGGTGAGAATTGGTCAAAAACTGGAAATTTAGAAGCCACTCTAAGAGTTGAAACTCTAGTTTCATAGATAATTGAAGTTGAAGTTATCGACAATGAATAAAGGTAGCTCCAATTCGTTAATTTAATTGAATGTTTTAATAAACATTGTTTTGCATTCGTACTCGAATATGTGAAAGTTGTAGGCCAATATGTGTTGAAATGAAGTCAAGAAAAAATAACCTCCCAAATAAAGAAAATATAGGGATAATTATAATAATGATTTAGACAATATATTTAGGGTATACTTTATATAAGTGAAAAAGCCCTAATCTGGTCCCTAATCATCAAAACAATCTAAAGAGTGAAAGAAAATAGTTTGAAATCTGAGAAAAAATCGGCCAAAAAAAATTCAAAGTCCCAAGTTCTGTGAATTGTGACCGATTTATTTGTTGATCAGTTTCATTCTATCTTCACATAGTTAAGGATGGGTATGCACTCCAAGATGTAAAGGATACAACAAAATCAAATAATAAACTATCGAGGAAAAAAAATATAATCTTAAAATATTCCCCTAAAAAAATATTTTTGGGACATTGATGAAAGTAACATATATTTAGATTGAATAATGTATTTATATGATATATAACAAAATAGAGCATATTAACATACTCATTATTATTTCTGTTATTATGTATTACTCGGCAATGCTATAAAGGCATCAGCTGTATATCCACTTTGTGGACACTTCTTACAACTATTCTTCTTCTTTGAGCATCGGACAGGTGCTTGCATCTCTTTATTACTGCATTATCCCCCAGTTCCAGTTAATAGGAGCCGTTCTTATCGACAAAAGTTCTTACTTTTATAAAATTCGTCTAAAATCAATTTATGAAAATATTTTGATGAAAGTTTCACGAAGCTGAAGCCAATAAGTTGGAGATTTGTTTTAAAAATTTTAAGTTATTTTTACATAATTTGAATATTTTTTGCTTCTGGGACCCCCCAATATGTTAAACCCTTTGCAGTTTAAGGGTTAATCTTAATTTTCCCTGGAATATGACCCACCAAATCATTTAACAACCAGGTACCCATTCACTGCTCCTACCCATTCCTAGTCAATCCTCCCCGGCCACGATGCTAACCCAGGCCAAATTTCTCGCAAAGCATGGGGCAAGTGTGTTACCACTGTGCCATGGGAACTGACAAATATAAAATTTTGTTGTATTTAAGTTTTTTAAAGGAGTTTAAGCATTATATGATAGTTTACACTTGGATTAGGTGAATCATAAATGATGCTAGCACAGTCACATTCTGACACTTAGCCTTGGCAATAGCTTGGATGAATAATTCTCACCTAATTGAACGTATGTATGTTCCACTGAATAATTTGCATTGTACACAATATGAACCATCCAGGAATTCATTAGTGCCTTTCACTACAGCAAGGATTCCCTGTAGTTACCAAATATTCTGGAGGGACTTTTGATTGTTTTGTAACTTGCATGTACAGTTGATTTCATCTTGGTAGTGGGTTGATATCTGATTACAGTGTGCCATGTTTTATTTTTTGCTACAGATTTTCTGATATAATAAATACATTTTTTATGTTTTTATGGCACTCATCATTATATATCTTTCAGGTTCAATTAAGAAAATGGAGCTAATACGAGCTAAGGTGCCCATTCTTAAGTTCAGAGATTCGGGCTACCAGGTGGATGTGGACCTCAACTGCAACAATGCTGTTGGGATCCGCAACACACATCTTCTCAACTCCTACTCACAGTGTAAGTTCGTTAGTGAGAAATTAGTTTGGAGCAATTACATAACTTCTGTGGTTGTTGTTATGCACAAGGGATATCTAGTTACTGGAGTGACTATTGATCATATTAGAACTTTGAAGCAACAAAAGACTGATATAGGTTAGTGATTAATTGCACTCATCAAATAGCATTTATCTTGCTGCTATGAATATATGTGAATAAGAAAAAACTTTAATACAAATCAATTGAGGAATGAGGCTGTCATGTTTTAGAGATACCAGGATATAAATTTATGGGTTCAAAACACAGGCTTGGCAAGAGATGTAGTAAGGATGTTGACTGGAATCTAATTTAAGAATATTGAAATTAGGTTCACTGCTTGGGTTCTAACAAGAAGGAATTATGCGTGCCAGCCTGGTAAGGGGCAATGGATAGTAATGTCGAAGTTGATCAAAATTTTTATGTCTTTGGAGCTGTACAACATGTGGGTAAGTATATGATGGTAAAGGTGGCATGTCATCTGCACTTTATTACAGTTTTTCGGTAGGCAAGGAGATATTTTTATGCCATTGATAGTAATGTACATGTACTATGAAAAATTGGCCAGTACAATAGAATAAAAGTACAATAGAATAAAAGCCTTGAGTTATGCATATTTGTGGAACAGATGCAGTAAAATTCAGAGAAATACTAAAGAACAGTGAAGTGTTGAAAAAGCCAGCATAGTTGATTGCTAAGTACTTTCCAGATTATTTTTGTTGGCAGATATTATATGCCTGTTATCTGCATGGTAGCCTAACATATGGTGTCATTGGTGTGGCCCACTCTGTCAGGTGTAGAGCACACAGAGTGATAGCGTGCGGCTGTGTAGCAGGCCCTTCAGAGGGTTCTTCTTCCTTAGGGCTCCATTCCCCAACTCTATTCTGACTGCTCCCTGGTGGTTTATTCACCGAACTGGAGGGGATCGTTTCAGTCCTTTCAGGACTGCAGGACTTTCAGGACTCCTCGATTGTGGTTCTTTGCATGGTTTACTTGCAGAATGTGTCCAGCATTCTTATAGGTAGTCTCTCGTTTGTGTCCCAATACCACAGAGGGGACACCTTTGGCTCTGTCCTTCCTTTGGGTCTGTGAGACATTAGGTCATCTTAAGATGGACCTCTTTGTGTCCATGTGGAGCTAGTGGCTTTCCACTTAAAAGTGCCTCCATTTCCTGATTGCAAGGATCTTGCAGTGGATGCCTTTTGGCTCAACTGTTTGAGGTGGGGATCTCTTGTATCTTTTTTCCCCATCTCTTGCTCTGGGTGTTGTCCTAGTTGAAGACATACTTGGGCAAGTTGATACTTTTGGCTCCTTAGCAGCCAACTGAGCCTAGGTTTATGGCTCTTCTGTCCTGGTGTCCAAACCCATGCATTTTTCCATGGTTATGCATTTAACAACACACTGGCCCAGTGATGTACCTTACTAGTTCTGCATTTTCTGCTGATCTACTTGTATGGACTTTCTGACGCAAGTCCCTCTGACCATTTGTATGATGAGCAGCTGGTTGAGTTAGTATCCCACCATTGTCTTTCATCGTGGTTGCAGTATGAAGTTTCTTGGTGCTCCTTTTGCTTCTGTGTCTTTCTTCATTATGTTTCTTCTGTGTCCATTTTGGTGGTTTTGATTTTTTTTGTCTTGGTTGTCAATCAGCATCTAATGCCTTGTACTGTCACCTCTTATAATTCGGTCTTGGTGAATTGCTCTTTTTGGCATTTGCCTTTGACATTTCCTCTTCATGATTCACTTGATTTTCATTTGCCTCTTCAGTCTGGAATATGTTCTTCAAAGTCCTGTTTTTTGTTGTCCCTCACTTCCAGTTGATGCATTAGATTGCTTCACTCAACCTATCCTCTATAGTATGTTGCATTTTGACGTGTACTTTATCTAAGGCCAAAAGCTGTAATGCAAGAAAATGGTAGTGACCCATGAAATTGACATAATGTCTCATTTTCTATGAATGGGTCCCCTGGTGGGTTAGGACATTTCAGTACAACAGTTTCTTGATGTTGGGAACGCTTGTGAAAACGAGCTGCTTAACTGGACGCATGGGGTTTTGTACCTTGGCCATGATGGTGTCTTTATTTGCAGCCTTCTTCTTTTCTGGTGAAGAATTTGTCAGTTAGCAAAACAAAACCTTTGTTTTGTTTCTAGGGGGGGGGGGTTGATCTTCACTCTCCTCCCAGTAAGTGCTGACTTTGTCTTCTCTGTTGTTAGCTAAAGGGAGCTACCATGTGGCTTCTCCAGAAAATAAGCTTTGAATGTAATGAAAGACCTCTTTCTGGGTGGGCATTGGTGGTTTCCTGGTACCAATGTATTCCAGGTGCATTGATTTGTATTTCTTAGGTGTCAGAGTCATGAGTGTTGAGATGGCGGTGCCTGCACCTCCTAGTGGTAAAGTTACCTAACGATGGCCAGCTGGAACTAAGAATTTGATCGATCAGTTATTACCGGGTGGAGGTTTTGCAGTCATTTGCTGCCTTCTTTCTGGACTCCTAGTGCTGATATAACTCATGTAATTACCTAAGTGTAATTACCAAAGTGTAGTTACAGGATGAAAGCTTCGCTTGTGGTGTCCCGTCTACCCAGCACACTGTCATATAATGCTTTGAAACTACTGATGGTTTTCTTGAGGTTATCTTGAGATGATTTCGGGGCTTTAGTGTCCCCGCGGCCCGGTCCTCGACCAGGCCTCCACCCCCAGGAAGCAGCCCGTGACAACTGACTAACTCCCAGGTACCTATTTACTACTAGGTAACAGGGGCATAGGGTGAAAGAAACTCTGCCCGTCGTTTCTCGCCGGTGTCCAGGATCGAACCCGGGACCACAGGATCACGTGTCCAGTGTGCTGTCCGCTCGGCCGGCCTCCATCACCTTCTCACCTAACTTGTTCCAACCGTCTACCACTCTGTTTACAAAAGGAATTTTCGGATATTTCTCTGGCAGCTTTTTTTCGTTAGTTTAAATCTATGACCTCTTTCTTGTTCTTGAAGTTCCAGGTCTCAGGAATTCTTCCCTATCAATTTTATCGATTCCTGTTACTATTTTGTACGTAGGAGAAAAAGAGGTGATATGATCACTATCTTCTAGTTTTTGCATATTTAATGCCTCTAACCTCTCCTCGTAGCACTTATCCTTCATTTCTGGGAGCCACTTAGTGGCATGTCGTTGCACTCTTTTCAGTTTGTTGATATGCTTCTTTAGATATGGTCACCATACAACAGCTGCATATTCCAGCTTTGGTCTAACAAAAGTCATGAACAATTTCTTCAGTATTTCTCCATCCATGTATTTAAAAGCAATTTTGAAGTTAAAAGTGTAGCATTGGCTCCGTGCACAATGTTCTTAATGTGGTCCTCAGGTGATAGTTTTTTTTATCTAGAACCACTCATAGATCTCATTCTTTATCAGAATTCAATAAAGCTTTCTCACATACTGTAATTTAATATAGGTTGTGTGGGGTCTATGTTCTCCTATTCCACATATATGTGGAGATATCTTTGTGTGGCAAGCTGCAGGGAGCCACCTAGGCCCTCAAGGAAAAAGGCAGTTTATTACATCGAATACTTTTTTTTAGGGTTGTAATAATTAATGGTATCTTTTTATTTCTAGGCCAATCACTCACTTTCCCCAGGATGCAACATGCAACAGTTGCCTAACTCCTGGGTACCTATTTACTGCTAGGTGAATAGAGGCATCAGGTGAAAGGAGATGTTCCCAATTGTTTCTGTCTTGCCTGGGGATTGAATCTAGGTTCCTCGATTGTAAGCCAAGGATATAGACCACTGATTATTTAAATGAAGTCATGTTTACATATTGCACTAAATCATATTTCTTGTCTTGAAATGTAATTATTGTATTATTCTTGGTTTGCAGTGGACTGGCGAGTGCGTCCCCTGGTCCTTGTGGTGAAACTTTGGGCTCAGCATCACAATATCAATAATGCTAAGGATATGACCATCTCCTCCTATTCCTTAGTGCTTATGGTCATACATTACCTGCAGCGTAAGTAGTTTCCCGAATAGCGTATTCTGCAGCTTCTCTTTATCTTTAAACGGCCACGAATGATAATTTTGATTTTTCTTTGATCGGCTCCATAGATACTAGGGGAGTAGTTTCATTGGGTAGAGGCATTCGTATACAAATTGACACCACAGGGTTACTCTGTGGTGTCAATTTGTATATGAATAATCTTTATCTAGATATTTTCCTGAAAATTTGAACAGTGAGTAATGTGTTAGTGAAGCACATAGAGTACTTGTGCTTCACTAGTTACCCCTCTCTAGCTGAAAATGGTTACCAGCACATGATGTGCTGCAGTGATTGGAAAAATAGTCCAGTATGTAACTCAGGATGTGATTGTTGCATTTTCTTCCTAAACATTTAAGCTGTTTTTGTGTAATTAAGATATTCTTCTCTTACATTAGGTCACAAGATGTTTAGATATTAAAATTAAATATATTGAATAAAATCTATCACACTTTTCATCACATGTTAATTTTCATGATTTACACACATTGAATAATATGTAAATACATACAGTATCTGGTTTGAGTCAAGGCTGAAATTGCTAGTAAAGTTTTGCATTAAGTATTAATTTGATGCTTTAGATAGTTGATTTCATTAAAATGTTTCAGAACCTTGTTGAGGTTGCCAAAGCAATTAATAAAACTTCTGTATTTGCTTTTCAGAGGGTGTGGAGCCGCCAGTTTTACCATGCTTGCAGAAGGCCTTCCCAGAAAAGTTTCGTGCCTATGCACAAATCACATCAATCCCAGTGACAGAAAAGATGCCAGCTTTCACCTCCAACAACCATGACAGTCTTGGTCAGCTATTCCATGGTTTTCTCAACTACTTTGCCAATACCTTTACGTAAGTAAAATCCCTCTATTACGTAGACTTTAGATTAATATTATCAGGGTATTGTATATCAGTGTATCAGATAAATATTGTGCAAATTATGATGTATTCAGTACAAGAATTATAAATTATTTAATTCTCGAATGACCTACCTCCGATTGGCTGAATTGCTGTACTGTATTTGATGATCAAAACCATGGCTGAATCTACTTATGTTTTGGTTGAAATCAATTTATATCTGAGAATTTGGTTAACTGAATGCACGTGTGCTTTGCAGGCTTCCAATGAAACCACATTAACATTTTGTCTGATAAATATTGCAACAATGCAATAAAAATAATACCAATTAACCCTTGGACAGTGGCTAAGGAATAATGATCAAACCCACCTATGCGCAAAAAATATATAAATTCCCAAAATTAATCTTTCATTATATAATTATTAATTTGTATGCAAAATGTAAGAAAAACTGAAAATCAGTGAATATTTATAGTTTCATTGGGTAGAGGCATTGTGAAAAGGTACGTGGTGGCTGTGTCTGGCACCTGACAACACCTGGTGCTCAACTTTACTGACGCTTCCTGTGTTATCCTCGGATGTTTCACTGATTGTTTATCAATTGTTTCTTTTTATACAAGAGTATGTGTTTGAGTAACTTGATAAATCACATAACTCACATAACACATAATGTTAAATTGATGACTGGCTTACCTGGTATGCTCTATTACAACCAGTATAGAGTAGTGAAAAGGATATGAACATAATATTCAATGGTATTGGGCTTTGGGCAATGACATATGACTTAATTGGCACAAATGGGCAAGAGTTTAGATTGAAACAAAGACGTAAGCCACCATTGTGGCACCCACAGATGATAATCGTCATATGATGATAACCACATTCACCTAGTAACATAACCATGAAATGATTGCAGGATATTTTCAAGGCGTCAAGGTAAACGCCATTACATCCACATAGACTTATTATATCTACTTGCATCATACATGTAAAAAACTGACAATTTTTGTTTAAATCCACATATGGCAATAACCGCAATACTCTGGGATTAACATATGATTAACCATCTATCAAAAGGTTAAAAACCAAGTAAGTACAGTACAGGAATTACAATTAATAAAAATACACAGTTTTATTATTTGTGGTGATAAAATTAGCACTAATATGTTTCCAGTCACATGCAGACTCAACTTGAAGCCCAAGAGAGAAATTCAGTTCCTCTGGGATGTATGTCAATGCACTGAAACAATAAGGATAATATTCATCCAAATAGTAGAGCAAATGTCATGACTGTCATGACAGTCAAATGTTATATCAAATGTCATGTAAGGGAGCCGGTCGGCCGAGCGGACAGCACACTGGACTTGTGATCCTGGGTTCGATCCCGGGCGCCGGCGAGAAACAGTGGGCAGAATTTCTTTCACTCTTTCTTTCCCCGAATTCATCTCAAGATAACCTGACTCTTTGACAATCATTGACTGCTGTAGCTAATGAGTTATGAAAGAGGGTTCAAGATAAAAGTAGTTACACATAACCTTTCTTCATTTAGTTGGGTGTGTCTGAGTATCTTTATTCTATGTATCTTATAGTACTGTACTTTTGATAATTTTAAGAAATAATTTAATTCCCTGTGCTTTGTGTGTAATTTGTTTATGAAATATATTAGGCACCACAATATTTGGTCAATTTTGTGTTGGTGACTAACATTTATTAGTCATAAGTTGGTGACTCATGTTAGCTAAATATTTTCTTTTGTGTGAAATGTAGTCATACATTCATAAGCTGAAATTGAGGTCACCATAAGTTAATTTCACAGGTTTATTGAGGAAACGATCTCGGTGCGGACTGGAGGGACTGTACCTACAGCTCAGTGTCGCAATGTAAAATCTCGAAAGAATGATACACGGATGTGGAAATACCTCTGCATAGAAGGTTTGTAGGTGCTAATAGCTATTTTAGTGCACAGTTGAGTTGTCTTTAACCTAGACAGAGAGCATCATTGTCTAAAGAATGAGTTACTGCATGTTATATAGTACTATATATCATTCAACAGAGACTATGGTTTTTCTTATTTGGGTAAGCCTGAATTGCAGTTTTAATACTTAATATGGCAGAAGGTTAAAGTACTGTGTAATTTTTTTAATTTTTGTGGCTGTAATTTTAGAAGCTCTTAGTCTCATAAATATTTATGTACTAGAACTGTAGAGTATCTATTTATCACTCCTTACTCTTGTGCCCTTTGCCTACCAACTTCTTACTGTTGTACTCTTAACTTGCCATGAGAAATATTTGTATATAATTTTTTCTTTGACAGAGCCATTTGATCTGACGAACACTGCAAGGTCTGTGTACGACGAAGCTGTGTTTGAACGTGTCAAGAAGGTATTTGTGGATTCGTACAAAATCTTGAACGAGAAGAGAGACCTTGCTTGTATTCTCACATGAGGCGTAGTTTGGGTTTGGGGAAAGTAACAGGAACCAGTGTAAATATGATCATCATTGTTTTATGCTTAATTGTGGCTGAAGCTGATAAATGGGTGAGCACTGTGAACCTGCTCAGTTTGGCCCTTCTCACATAATCATTGCAATGTGGTTGAAACTTTTATTAGATGGTTTCATCTCATTTTTTGTTGCATTATATCACATTTCTGAATATGGGACCATGCTTGAAAAGTGTGTTGCTGCTGTTTCAAGCCACTCCAAGTTTTGAGTCTCAAAGTTCTGGGGCAAGTTAGGCTGATAGTGATTGTGAATAGCACCAAGTTGGAATTGTCAAAGACTGCATTCTATATCTGCCATCACACCAGGGTAGGTTTAGTTCAATGAACTATGGCCAATTTATTGGATTGTACCACTTGTAAATTTGAATGTTATTGTTTAAAGTGGTACTATTGGCAAGAAGACTTGAGTCCATAATTTACTTCTGCCTGCCAGATGATTAAAGCTTACAACATGCATGGACATAGTAAACAAATACAGTATTGGAAGAATAATTAAAGCAGATATATTTACTTCTAAGAACTTGATAATAAAATGATTGAGTGTGGATAATAAGGTTATGGCATTTTAATTTTTATTTCTTCATAATGTAATCATAAAATTAAGAAAACAAAAAAAAATTATGCTGACACATTAGGTTTTTGTATATAGCTGGTGACATTTAGCCATCTAGTACTGTTGCTAATCTGGGCTTAATTTTAGCAATAAAACTTACCCACATACCTTAATTTTGGTTGAATTTATACTCGGGTGTTGCTTGAGCTGCCATATTAATATTTTGAAAAATGCACATCCCATGTGGGAGGACCCGTTCTTCAAATAACAACGTGTGGAAAACACATGTAAATTGTAGGCAGTTTCTGGAGCACAATTCTTCCGAGTAATGTTTAGGTACCCTGAGATGTGAATGAATTTTATCCTTGTATTTTGACAACTATAAAGGCTTTGCATTTTCTATGAAGTTTGCTTGAAATTAATACACACACCTTCAGTGAGCCAAAATGGTACATAGGTAATTGATATCAAAATGATGTGAACACCAACCACAACACAAAAAAAGTATGCTTAATTTTCCTATTATTTTATTTTTAGGACGTAAATCTTTCAATATTTTAAATTAATGATCATAAAGTTTTACACGTTAGTATTTATTATTAATATTATTATTATTATTATTATTATTATTATTGTTATTATTATTATTATTATTATTAATATTTTTGCATTTTTGGAATATCGTGAGCTTATTCCTTGGCAAGAAGGAATAAGGTGATGATACAAAGTGTGAGTGTTGACTACTGCTGCTCTAGCACAAATTGTAGAGGTGCCACAAGGCTTCAATAACTATGTTTCTGATGTTTTCATTCATATTAGTCAGGTTCATTTTCATCATTATTAATGATTATTACATTTGTGGCCTTCAATGCATTGCCTCGATACTTTCCAGAATACAAGGTTAACTCTTCATTTGCTTGACCTAAATTTCTAAAATATTTACAGTATTTGATGCATAAATTTTTTTTTTTTAAATTTTAGAATTTGGTTCTGTTCCATTTTTTTTTTTTTTGAACTTTGAACATATCAGTTGATTATATAAGACTGTGTGAAAGTGAAGAGAGTTAAGAACTTTATCCGAGGCATTAATGCTTGTACTCAGGAATATGTTTATGGTAAACACTGCTGGAAGTCATTTAAAAGTAGATCACTAGACAATGGTATTCATAAATTTTAAGATAATATTTTTCATGAACAGGATTATTCTTTAAAGGAAGTTTTAGTTAGCTTTTCATTTAGTACCAGTTTTGTAACATTTTGTCTTGTAAAGAACACAGGTTGACCTTGATCAAAGAATTTCAGGCATTGCCAATAGTTGTGATAATGTTATCTTCAACTCTCTTCTTTTCCCATGTTTAAAATATAAGTTTGTCTTCAGTTTTGTTGAAATAAATTAAAGATTTTAATTTTCTGGGAAGATATTACTTTGAGCATGTTTTCCTTACAGAGCTTCAAATACAACTCATAATATATAACTTTCTAATTATGTGGAATAATGATTTACACATTCGTAGAATACATATGGCCAGTAATGCTGTTAAACTTCTACCTCTTACATTCTAGAACGTTTGTGTGAATGAATACATAAGAGAGAAACTGATTTGGAGATGCCTTAGTTCACTCAAGTAGGTTTCTAAAACCAGTGCATCTTTGTACTCGTCACGTATATCTTTCATCTTGTATTTGATTTATTATACCTACATGTATGCAGAAGTTTCAACAATTAAGATAACCAGTAGCCAGCAACTTAAGTATTTGCACACTAACCATCATTCAGCATTTAATAACCTATTCATATGGAAAGGACATTTCGATGGTCTACGATACCATATTATGATTGACAACAGGAGCCCAGTGTATGGTTCTCCATTAAATTAAATGACTTGATGGATAGTTTTGTGTACTCTGAAGTTACTGCATTAAAATTATTCTGAATTGCCAGTCCCATTAAAATACCAAATGGGGTGAAAACTTTACATCTGAAAAATCTCAATGGGTGAATTCTCGTCAGATCCTGACTATTTCCATCAGCAGTGTTTTACCAATTTAGTGTTTCACCTGACACCATTATCAGGCAAAGATGGTGAATGTATTTTATATTTTGCTTTTATGATTTTTTTTTTATTTGTACATTATAAGGATCTGGATTTGGAGGAATTAAATTGAGAGCTGTATACTGTATATTCATGTTAATGTATATGGTCGATAAAGGAAATTATTTCCTAAGTTTGATACATGGTAATTTTAGTTTAATAGTTTATCAAGAAATTTTTTAATTTTTATTGTGAAATACACATAGGAACAATGCTTTTTCAACTTGACACAGGCAGTGCTACGTAGTCTTCTTGGCTTTGAGCCGCCTTTTGTTAATTACTCACTTTTCAACCCCTTGGATATACCACAATATCATATGAACACTTATGTGGGCCAAAAACAAACCTTGAAATTTTAATAGATATCGGTATTTTGTGTGTTATTGAAGATTTTGACAACTACTAATTGTAGAAACTTAAGGTCTTGATTTTTTTTTCTTATAATGTAGTGGGCACATATACAGTACTAATATCTTATCAATTATTTGTCAAACATTTATATTAATAAATCCAGAGTTGTCACCCACTTTTTGGCTGCTAATGTAAAGTTCAAAATGCTGCTCTACTTCTACTGTAAACATTATCATCATTGGTGCAGGATTGGCAGATGCAAGATTCATAACTGATGACTGACATACATATATATACATATATATATATATATATATATATATATATATATATATATATATATATATATATATATATATATATATATATATTATACATACACACATACAATTTATTTTTTAATTCCATCTTTTATCAATATGAAACATAATGATATACGTTTTTGAATGTTGAGATGTTCATTAAGTCAGGAGTTTGAATTTAAAGATCTGGAATTAAACAATTGAAAGAGAGGCCGAGGTTAGGGTGGGCCGTGACCATGTTGTGCAGAGCACTTCCCCACTACCCACAGGGACGGGAGAGGTGCCTGGCTCCCACGTATATGGGCTGTGGTTATAGATGCATGGCCAATAGAATAATGGAAGCAGTATTGCAACTTGAATATATTTTATATATATATTAGAAAAATATTGGAACAAAAGTGTACGGTCGTTTGTGAAGATAAACACGTTTTGTTATAACTGAAATCTTTGAATAAATTACGGTAACTATCATTTTAAAAATTTAAAAATATTTCTCTTTTGGTGGAAGAGTATTATTCTCTTGGATTGTGTATGTGGATAAAGAATTTCCGTTATTATGTGTAACAACTCCAGCTGTGGGGGTAGAGGTCTTGAATCATAAGTATTATTGTTTACTGTGGTAATTGTTAAGTTGTATATTGAACTTCTACATTAAGCCTTATTATTAATCATTTGTTTGTATTATGGTTTCTTAATTTTGAAAATTAAGTTTGTCTTCAATTATTAGGGTTTTTTGTGCAGGATATAAATTATATCTACCCCTAATAAAACATCCATTGCATTATATATATATAAATTTTCTTTTAGAGGATAGAAAATGTGCAGAGAAAACCCTGAAGTGTGGTACATGTGGGAAGTGTGTGTGTATAAAGAAAACGTGTGTGTCTGGGAAATGAATTTATTTTAAACTTCTCTCTTTATGAGAGCCCTGTATGTCGTACTGTCTGCATAAAGGTATGGTTGCTGCTGGAAATGTAGCATAAAACATAAAAGCTTCTCTAATATACCCAGGAATTGTCCTGTGCTGTTTATTAATTTGTTATTCTTTTTCCCTGTTGCTTATTATTTGTTTACATTCCTTTCCAGTATTTTGTCAATATTGATTGTAATCTTGCCAGGTCATTACTACCTCTTAGCTGCTTCAGTGCACATCAGCATTTCACTGTACTTTATGTATTAATCTGGGATTTCCTTGCAAGTTGTTACAATGTCTTGATCAACACTTGAGGCAGGGCTTTCATTGCAGGATAATATATTGGTTTTAATTATAGCAGCAGGGTACATAGTAACATGTGAGAGTAGTTTATCCTGTCTGCTTATATCATGATTTGAGAGTTCCACTATTAAACGCTCTGCTGATGTTGCCTTATAAGATGGGGGGGGGGGTGGGGTGATGGGGTGATGTAGAGCACGAGTTATTTACAGTGTTTGAGCAGGGAATGGGATCTGATATACGATTAGAGCAAAAAGTGACGGTGTACAAGAAATGTAATATAAAGCATTGCTTGTATTATTACTTGCTATTTCATTCTTGTTAACATAATACCTTGCGTGTGTGTGGTTACGTTTCTGCTTATAACCTGGAGTAAGAGTTGTGTATCTCTCATAATTGCAATATTATGAGGTGAAGGAAGTGTACTGCTTGAATGATTGTAGTATGGGGGAAGCATGGTTTATATATCATTTGTTCCCGTTAGGTTGCAAGTTTTAATAAGCCTTAAATATTTTCAGTTTTAGTTATCAATAAATGTCACTTGTATCAAAATGCACTACAGACTGGTACTGTATATCCATTGTCTTCTGGCTTAGTTTGCACTTCAGATTTTTTTAATGGCCTTAATTTGTGTTAGGTCTTTAAAGCACTAGTTATGTCTAACCAAAATGCAGTGAAGTCTCGAAGTCAATTGGTTAAATAAGCAGTAAAATATTGTAAAATTATTCGCTTGTTGCCCTTTTAATCACAATCTCCGTGTTGGAACAATTATCGATAACTAAGTATGTGTGCAAGGTAGGTAATTACTTTAGTATTTTTTATATTATGACACACTTTGGAAGTCTTGCTCCATAGCTCTTGCACTTGGCCAGAAAACAAAAAGGTATTCACACTTTAAATACTAAAGGCTTGTGTATATCAGAGGTAAAGGGAAGACTCGGGTGATGGTGAGGACATGCCGGGCACTGGTAGTTGTAATGCAAAATGTACGAGTAGCCATCGACTGTAACGAGAGGGAGTGGCTACAGTAATTTCCAGCCTTTGGTTTTGCATGCTTAGTGTACACAAATCTCCTTGGTCTAGGAGTGTTAGCTCAGTGGGAAAGATTTAGTGGTTTATTTTGAAGATGAGAATTTATTGGAATATAATCTAGACTAAAATGATAGAATATGATCATAACGAAGTTATTTAGGAGGAATTAATGAGTGGAAAGATTTTTAAAAGTTTCTCAGTCTGGTTATATCATCATTTAAGATCCTTGGAAGGTTGAAATACATTTCTGGGATTGGAGCATCTTATCGGTGTACTGCAGATCCTTCCCCTTTTGGAGATAAGTTTATTGTATACAAATGTTAGAAATTTCATCTGCGGCTTAAGGCATATATCTAGATATACAGTATTTGCTGTGAGTACTTGCTCATGTTGGCAAACTTATACTGCCCTTAAGAAAAAAAGTAATTGTGTTGGAAAATTGTTGAGTGCAGTAGCTGTCCTTAATGTTCTACAAGCTGCTTCGCATTACGGTCTGTTGTAGTGTTGTAAAGTTAAATATTGTTTAGTAGAGTGGAAATGGTAGAGATGTTTCTCATTTCCTACATGCCTTCATTAGTGAAAAAAAATATATATTTTTTTATGTAATATGTAAATAATGTGACTTTGTTTTTAATGTATATTAAAATTTACAAATAATAGTTTACAAATATTTTCAGCATTCCTCTAAATTTCAAAACATTAGCTATTATTTACAGATTGTTCAGATATTCTGCTGTTATGTAAATATATTCTGCCAGTGTATTTATAGCTAAAAAAAAAAAAAAGTAAAAATACTGCTATTGTAAATGAGAAAAAATAAGATAAAAAGGAAGTTGATAAATGTTTAATGACAGTGGCTGTGGTAGATTATTGTACAGTACTTAGTTTTGTCCTTCAACCCTTTTGACAATATTCTTGTGATATTCTCATGTGTGCTCTGACAATCTTGACTTGTGATGCAAGGTAAGCTCTCAAACAGAAGATTGAAGAAAACTTGGCTCAAATTCATAATTAGCTTGTTTAACTTTGTTTAAAATTATCCTGTGTCACTATATATTATTTATGTATTTAGAGTGACAATGAGCTCAGTTGCCTGACCCTTATAACACGTGATGTGAGGTTAATTGCACCTTTTTCAGTAAATTGCTACCCCCCCATTTTCCTCCATCCTGATGCCTCCCCATCCCATCAAAGTAGGAAATGGGGTAATGATGTGTAGTTTTCTATTTTAACACAGGATTTCTTGCTGAATGAGCACTTTGCTAATTATTTTGATATGGAAATAATTATAGTAGTCCTGCAGTTGGTTTCATCATAAAGCTGACATAAATGTACTTAGTATTATTCATCATATACAGTATATTAATTGGGAAATTTGAATGACTATGTGGAGAATAGTTTTATTGTTCCATTTCATTGT